AACATATCTGGATGTACAAATCTTCCTAAAGACAGGGATTCTAACACCAATCCTAAAGAAAGAAAAAGACAAAACATTACCATCTAGCTAGAGGAATAACTGTGACTAAAACCTTTGCAAAAATATTACAAAGTATACTGAAGGATAGAGCTGACTCTGTATTTAATAACATACAAAACTCCTTGCAAAGAGGCTTTACAGAAGGAGTGTCATCACTATGCGCAGCTTTCCCCACATCAGAAGCAATCGAAGAAAGTAAGAAATTAAAGATACTGATGATTTTAATAATTCTTGATGCAGATAAAGCATTTCACAAACTCAACCATGAAATACTATTCAACAAGCTGTACCATTATGGAATAAAAGGAAAACTCTGGATACTACTGAGAAACTTGTATAAAGGCATGAGCATTAAGGTTAAATGGGAAGGTCAATGTACAGAAGATGTAATGGTGTTACAAGGAATTCAACAAGGTGCAAAACTATCTACGACGCTATATAAATGCTACAACAACGTCATACTGGATAGCATTTTTAAAAGTGGTATTGGAGCATGTATTGGTGATATATAAGTCCCTGCACCCACACGTGCCGATGACATTGCTGTCCTGGCAAATAGTACTGCAGACGCACAAGGAATATTAGACATAGTACAGCACCATACAAGCAGAGATCTAGTTAAAATCAATCCAACTAAATCTGAAGCTGTTTTATACAATGCAAAAGGCTCAAACATATCAACACTGCAATTCGAAGACGATGACATCAATATAACCAATGAAACCAAACATCTAGGTATGAAAAGAAACGAGCAAAACCGGGCAAATATCTCAGAAAGAATAAGAACCGGCAGGGCAACAATATACAGCCTTCTCGGAGCCGGTTTACATGTCAGAAGGGGATTCTCACCCATGGTCGCATACAAGCTATGGAGAACATATGCAGTACCAAGAAGCAACTACGGACTTGAGGTGATGAACTTACTTGCAAAAGAAAAGGATATGCTAGAACTGGCAGAGAGAAAAATCCTCCGACAAATTCAAGGGCTTCCAAATAATACAGCAAATATGGCTGTCTATACCCTGGTAGGAGCAGAACCTATTGCCATCACATTAGACATAATTAAATGTTTCCTTATGTTTTAAGGTGTATATAGTTGCTACAATTATACCCTATGGGTAGTGCTCCACAATTAATGGAGGAATATACAAGAAACTGAACTGAACTGAGTGATAGATATGTAGTATAAATATAGAAAATTGAATATTTTAATAAAAAAAAAAAATATCTGTATCATATACCCATGCGCCTGTGGTTTGAGGCAGAAAAACTTTGAAAAGAACATATGTATGTGCCTGTTTCAAGTCAGGAGCCTGTAATACAGTGGTTGTCAATTGTTCCTGTATATCATATGTGTTTTTCATTTATTGTTTTGTAAATTAAAGAATCTTAAGCTTTGTGAACAGGCTCACATATCCCACACCCCCACATTGACACTGAGCAAACAAAATCTCACGAGATGCCTAAGTGTCAAAGACTCATAACTCCTACAAAAGTCAATTGATAAAAATTTCTTGTCGATATGCACATTTACATATTATGTCCTTGTTATCTACAAAATTTCATGAGATTCTGTGGTGTGGTTTCAGAGGAGTTGCGATGACAAGAACAGGACTAACAGACTGTAGTATATTGAGGCCAATAAGTTCAAAGGGGCATAACTCCTAGAAAAAAAAGGAATCATAATTTCCTGTCGATATGCACGTCTACATAGTATGACCTTATTATCTACAAAGTTTCATGAAATTCTGTAGTGTGGTTTCAGAGGAGTTGCGATGACAAGAACAGGACCAACGGACTGTAGTATATTGAGGCCAATAAGTTCAAAGGGGCATAACTCCTAGAAAAAAAATTGAATCATAATGTCCTGTCGATATACACATCTACATAGTATGTCCTTATTATCTACAAAGTTTCATGAAATTCTGTTGTGTACTTTCAGGGGAGTTGCGATGACAAACTGTTGCAGTAGTACATTGAGGCCAATAAGTGCAAAGGGGCATAACTCCTAGAAAAAAATTGAATCATAATTTTCTGTCGATATGCACGTCTACATAGTATGTCCTTATTATTTACAAAGTTTCATGAAATTCTGTAGTGTGGTTTCAGAGGAGTTGCGATGACAAGAACATGACTGACGGACTGTAGTATATTGAGGCCAATAAGTTCAAAGGGGCATTACTCCTAGAAAAATTAAGTAGAGAACAGAAACTAAAAATTCAGCAATTTTTCTATTTGTAAACACGCATAACTATAGAACGGTTGTGTACAAGTTTTATCACATTTGGTTTAGACAAACTAAAGTTAGAGAACGGAATCGAATAATTCAGCAATTTTTATGATTATAAAGGGACATAACTCAAGAATTGTATAAGTGTTGCCACCAAATTTCGTACTTAATCTGTATTATGTAGTAATAAGCATTGTGTATAAGTTTCATAACATTTGGTTGAGGCAAACTAAAGTTAGAAAACAGAAAGGTAACAAAAAAATTGTACTTGATCTTAGTTTTGTGGTAATGAATATTGTGTAAAGGTTTCATAATGTTTGGTTGGGGCAAACTTAAGTTACAGAATGGAAACTAAAAATTTTGCAATCTTTGGATGTATAAAGGGGCATAACTCAATAATGGTTAAAGTGACACTACCCAAATTCAACTTGATCTGTGTTTTATCAGTGGAAGTCAAAATTAAACATTGCATCGTATAAAGCATTGATTGTAGTTGATTCAACTATAATCATGGAAAAAGAAAGATAACTCCAATTTTAAAAATAACTTGATATTTAGAAGAAAATAAAAAATTAGCAATTTTTCCATTTCTAAAGGGGCATAACTCTAGAACGGTTTAAGTGACGCCACTAAAATTCAAACTTGATCTGTGTTTTGTGATGATAAGCATTGTGTATAAGTTTCATAACATTTGGTTGAGGCAAACTAAAGTTAGAAAACGGAAACGAAAAATTCAGCAATTTTTCCATTTGTAAAGGGACATAACTCTAGAACGGTAAAAGTGACGCCACCAAAATTCAAACATAATCTGTGTTTTGTGGTTATAAGCATTGTGTATAAGTTTCATAACATTTGGTTGAGACAAACTAAAGTTAGAGAACAGAAACCAATTTTGGGACGTACAGACGGACAAGGGTAAAACTTAATGCCCCCTCCGCTATGGCGGGGGCATAAAAAGTCAATCATAATTTCCTGTCGATATGCAAGTCTACATAGTATGTCCTTATTATCTACAAAGATTCATGAAATTCTGTAGTGTGGTTTCAGAGGAGTTGCGATGACAAACTGTTGCAGTAGTATATTGAGGCTAAAAAGTGCAAAGGGGCATAACTCCTAGAAAAAGAATTGAATCATAATTTCCTGTCGATATGCAAATCTACATATATCTATCCTTATTATCTATAAAATTTCATGAAATTCTGTTGTGTTGTTTCAGAGGAGTTGTGATGACAAAAACAGGACTGACAGACTGACAGATGGACGGACAGACAGACAGGTCAAAAACATTATACCTGACGCAATAAATTGTGTGGGGTATAATAAATCATCAGTTAGTTTTCTCCTTTGATTAGTTTAACATTTGTCTTTTGGGAGCCTTTTGTAACTAGTGGTGTGGGTTTTGCTCATTGTTGAAGGCCGTCTGGTGACCTACAGTTGCGAACTACTAGGTCATTTGGTCTCTGATGGAAAGTTGTCTCATTGGCAACACAAGAGTGGACACACTGAAATGTCTCGCCTGTTTTAGTGTTCATAATTGAATTTATGTTGAAAGTAAAAAAAATAAGTTTATATAAGCTTTACATTAAATTAACATTTTAATGATGAATGAACATGAAGTCAAGGTGAGATAAACCCTATCAGACAAACATGTAGGCCGTACAATCATGCCATACACCAAATATAGTTGACCTATTGCTTATAGTATTAGAAAAAGACCAAAACACAAAAACTTAACATTGACCAATGAACCATGAAAATGAGGTCAAGGACAAATGACACCTGCCAGTCAGACATGTACACCTTACAATCATTCCATACACCAAATTTAGTTGATCTATTGCTTATAGTATTAGAAAAACAGACCAAAACACAAAAACTTAACATTGACCAATGAACCATGAAAATAGGTCAAGGACAAATGACACCTGCCAGACAGACATGTACACCTTACAATCATTCCATACACCAAATATAGTTGACCAATGGCTTATAGTATTAGAAAAACAGACCAAAACACAAAAACTTAACATTGACCAATGAACCGTGAAAATGAGGTCAAGGTCAGATGAAACCTGCCAGACTGACATGTATCCCTTATAATCATTCCATACACCACATATAGCTGACCTACTGCTTGTAGTATCTGAGAAACGGACCTAATCGCATAACTTTAACCTTGATCACTGATCCATGAAATGAGGCTGAGGTCAGGTGAACCCTGTCTGATGGACATGTAGACATTGCAAGGAACCCATATACCAAATATTGTTATCCTATTACTCATAATAAGTGAGAAATTTACATAACAAAAAAACTAAACTTTTTTTTCAAGCAGTCGCTGAACCATGAAAAAAAGGTCAAGGACATTGGACATATGACAGACGGAAAGTTCGTAACATAAGGTATCTGCATACAAAGTATGAAGCATCCAGGTCTTCTACCTTCTGAAATATAAAGCTTTATACAAATAGTTTACGCCGCCGTCGCCGCCGGATAGTAATACCTATGTCTCACTTTCTGCGACTTTCGTCGAAGGCGAGACAAAAACCACATCTTATTTATATAAAAAATGAATTCGAAATTTACATGTGTTTACATTCTTCGGGAGGGTAGAATAATGGAGAATTAGTTTACATATCTATAGTCTATTCAAATAGTTCAGGAAAGGAGTTATCAGGAAGCAATATTCTGAAATGGGTAACTCAGAAAATGACCAATAAATTAGTTTTATTGCACAATAGACAAATACATATTACAGTTACAAATAAATGATTTGAGACATAATGAAATACACTTTTTTGTATGTAGTAATTTCAGAACAGAGTCTTAGCCAAAATGAAATCATTGTTTTTTAATCGCCAAAATCACAAAAGAATATTAGGAAGTCATATTGAAAAATGTCAAAATTTATAAAACGTACCTTTTTGATCTGACATTAAAAATACTATATTGTAAAAAAATGTCAGGGAATTGATCAATAAAATTCAGAATAGAAATGGGGAATGTGTAAAAGAGACAACAAACCTACCAAAGAGCAGAAAACAACTGAAGGCCACCAATGGGTCTTCAACACAGCGAGAAAATCCACAAGACAGTTGTTGTTTTGCCATTTAATTAATAATAATCTAGTCCTCAGTAGCATTAACTTTGAACTTAGTTAGAAAATCATAATGGTTAGAATGAATAGGATATCTAGGTATTAATTACTTTTCCTAGAAGACTGTGGAATATTTTAATAACCAAAGCCTGGTAAAGATATAGAGGACATATTCTAGAAGAACAACCAATAGTGTACAAATCAACCTCTTTGAAAGGTGTACAAAATTAATCCAGTATAATAACCAGTCATTTGGGACTAGCAAATATACAAATCAACCTCTTTGAAGGGTGTTCAAAATTATTCCAGTATAATAACCAGTCATTTGGGACTAGCATGGGTAGACTTGAAATCAAATGGTTCCAGTCTATCATCAGGGGGAAGTAACTGATTTAAACTTTCCATTTTAGGAATGATATTGTCCATGGAACTTTTGATTTTATTTAAAGTAGTAACTGTTTCTGAAACTCGTTGGAACTGTTCAGCATATTTATGATATTTCTTCTGTTTATCTTGCATTAAGTTGTGAAGCATTTGCATTGCACAGTCGATCTGAAAAAGAAATAAATTCTATAACTCAATGAAACAATGATTATCCTAACAGATTGAAAAAATATGTTATTGAAAAAAAAACATAATAGCACTTTTATCTGTTTTGAGAGGAAAATTAAAAGTAACCAGGAGCCTGTATTGTTCATTTTCGTATCTATCATGTCTTTGCGCAATATATTCTATGGACAAATGTTTCAGTCAGTTTTCAAGAGGAGTGATGTGCTTACGAAGTTGCAAATTTCAGAAAGTGTTGCATACAAATATTGAGTGATAATAAAATAAATGTGGAATGTGTCCATGGGACACAGATGATGCCCCCGCTTGCATATCATATAAAATTATAAACGGACATAACTGAAGAATTGTAAAAGTAACCCTACCCAAATTTGAACTTGATCTGAGTTTTGTGGTAATAAGTATTGTGTATAAGTATAATATTTGGTTGAGGCAAACATAAGTTAGAGAACGGAAACGAAAATTTCTGCAATTTTTCCATTTGTAAAAGGGCATAACTCTAGAACAGTTAAAGTGGCACCACCATAATTCAAACTTGATCTGTATTTTGTGGTAATAAGCATTGTGTATAAGTTTCAAAGCCTTTGGTTGAGGCAAACTAAAGTTAGAGAACGGAAACGAAAAATTCAGCAACTTTTCCCTTTGTAAAGGAGCATAACTCTAGAACGGTTGAAGTGACACCACCAAAATTCAAACTTGATCTGTGTTTTGTGGTAATAAGTATTGTGTATAAGTTTCATAAAATTTGGTAGAGGCAAACATAAGTTAAAGAACGGAAATGAAAATTTCAGCAATTTTTCCATTTGTAAAGGGGCATAACTCTAGAACAGTAAAAGTGACACCACCATAATTCAAACTTGATCTGTATTTTGTGGTAATAAGCATTGCGTATAAGTTTCATAGCATTTGGTTGAGGCAAACTAAAGTTAGAGAACGGAAACGAAAAATTCAGCAACTTTTCCCTTTGTAAAGGAGCATAACTCTAGAACAGTTAAAGTGACACCACCAAAATTCAAACTTGATCTGTGTTTTGTGGTAATAAGTATTGTGTATAAGTTTCATAAAATTTGGTAGAGGCAAACATAAGTTAAAGAACGGAAATGAAAATTTCAGCAATTTTTCCATTTGTAAAGGGGCATAACTCTAGAACAGTAAAAGTGACACACCATAATTCAAACTTGATCTGTATTTTGTGGTAATAAGCATTGCGTATAAGTTTCATAGCATTTGGTTGAGGCAAACTAAAGTTATAGAGCGGAAACGAAAAATTCAGCAACTTTTCCCTTTGTAAAGGAGCATAACTCTAGAACGGTTAAAGTGACACCACCAAAATTCAGCCTTGATCTGTATTTTGTGGTAATAAGCATTGTGTATAAGTTTCATAGCATTTGGTTGAGGCAAACTAAAGTTAGAGAATGGAAACGAAAAAATTCAGCAATTTTTCCATTTGTAAAGGGGCATAACTCTAGAACGGTTAAAGTGATGCCACCAAAATTCACTCTTGCTCTGTGTTTTGTGGTAATAAGCATTGTGTATAAGTTTCATAACATTTGGTTGAGGCAAACTAATTTTGGAGAATGGAAACCTACTTTGAAACGTACGGACAGACGGACTTACGGACGTACGTACAGACGGACAAGGGTAAAACTTATTATTTCTTATGCAGCAAAAATACTGCAATCTGATTGGTTAATTACCCCGGTGTAAATAATACCCCACCCTTGTTCACCCCGGGATAGATAAAATTTTGCCAAAAAATAAAAAAATATAAAATTTTGCCAAAATAAAGAAAAAAAATAAAATGTAAAAAAAAAAAAAATAAATAAAATGTAAAAAAAAAAAAAAAAATTAAATTTGAGGACAAAAATTGAAAAAAAATTAAAAACCAATTGTTCACAGAACAGTTGAAGGTCTTTCCACCAGTAAAGATCTATTTTGATATTAAAATATTGAAAATCAGTCTTAAATGTCAGTTCCTATGGCTTTATGATGTATAAATATGAATTTAAAGCAAAGGTCAAAATCTAGAACGTCCTATTAACCTATGACCTTGACTTCAATTTCAAGGTCACAAACCAAGGACCTCAAATCAAAAGACCCTAGGTCTTTAATATGTTTGGTTAATGAGTTATACCACTTAACGATAATTCTAAATATAAGATGGGCGAAAACTCCCATTTATTGTCTACGCACCCTTTCAACCAAAATTTACAAGTTACGACATGTCGCAACTAACAATTTAGTAAAAATAAGATGTCGATATGTTATACGGTTTTTGAAAAGAAGTGAGAATAAGCCAAAATCAAAATTTAGAATATGACCTTGACCTTTGACCTTGACCTAATTTTCTTTTTTTTGGACCAAGGACCTCAAATCCAAAGACCCTAGGCCAATATCACTTATGGTTTACCAGTTAGAAACGCATATCACTTATATCAAATACATAAGGGGGAATAACTCTCATATGGAGTCTCGGGATAGCTTCGGTCAAAATAAAAATGAAGGTGTAACAAGCAATTTGGTAAAATAAATTTGTCGTAATCTTTTACGGTTGCAAAATTAGTGGCCACAAGAAAAACAGTGTTTGGGGAGATAACTCTTACAACGTAAGGTATTTGGTTACGCGGTTGTCAGTTTTAAAAGCGTATAAACTATACGATATCATATTCCAAATATCTAAGCGACATCTTATGAAACAACAAAACTACGAAAGTAGAAAAATTAGGCGGAAGAAGAAAAAAAAAATAATAATCAGAACAAAATCAAAGGTGGAAAGACCTAATTAAAACATGAAAAAAAGTATTTATTTTTTTTTTTTCTCAAAAATTCAAAAGAACACAAAAATTTTCTGAATTTCCCAAAAATAAAGATAAAAAGTATTTGACAATACGCAGCAGCATTGACATTAACAAAATGTTACACTGGAAATTTTTCATTACCATTTTTCAATTTTACATCCTGGTTTAAAAATGAGTAAAGGAATTGTTCATAAGAAATAAATTCGTTATCTTGGTGTAATCAGGGGTGTACGGAATTTTACACCGTTGTTGAAAATTCATACACCCATGCCTCAGGGTGTAAGAATTTTCAACGACAGTGTAAAATTCTGTACACCCCAGATTACACCAAGATAACTAATAATGCCCCCGCCGTAGCATAAAAAGTGAATTCTAATGTAATGTAAATTTATCCAAATTTAAAATCGAAGTGCTTGTAAGATTTAAAAGGTAAAGATTGCTTTCATTTTGCAATTTTGTGAATCTTTTAAATAAAACATTGAATTGTATTTTGCTAGGAAAATTAAAAATTTGAGTTGGAGTTATCTTCCTTTGTTCATGATTGTATATGAATCTGTTTTTATAACAGATTCATACACCATGCATTACTTATGTGAATTTTAATAAAAAAATGTTTTCTTGACAAGTATGGTCATTCAAATATACATCATATTGTAATTCAAATATCAAAGTATAACATATCATCAAAAAATTGCATAATATTGACTGGATAGGATCTAAATAACGATCACTTCACTGCACTATTTTGTTTGAACTATCAAAAGCAGCAATAAACCTTAGAAGATATAGATATCAAGTCAGTACTATAAGTTTTTGATTGCATTTGTTGCAATCTTTACCCAATAAAAATACAAGAAAATAAAACAAGAAAACACCACAACATGGATTGTCTGAATAGCATGCAACTGATTAGCAGAACGCATGGAATAATTATAACAAGGAGTTTTTTTTTTTAACCACCCATACTTTTAATAGAGAAAAATAACAAAAACCAAATATAAAAATTTGCTTCTGGCAAACAGAACTGTACAATATAAAAATAAGGAGATGTGGTATGATTACCAATGAGACAAGAATGTTTAAGAAGAAACTTTCCCCAATACTCCTGCTCATTTTACTGTAAATTCAGAAATTACTGTGTGCATTTATTTATTGAAAATCCTTGACAACTGGCAAAAATGCTAAATCTAATTTTTGTGATTTGCAAAAATTTTATAAGGAATTAAATCACTACAAAAATTATGAATGCAAGATTTATTATTGTGAACATGATACTGTGGCATTTTCCTATGTTTATCCATTGATAAAAAAACATCACAATAATTTCTGGATTTACAGTTATTAAAAATTGTGTAATACTTTGAGAGGAACCAAACAATATAAAAAAGTTAACAAGGATGCCAATTGATGCAAAAATCTTGTACATAGAAACCATTTACAAACTGAGCTAAAAGGAAAACAACTCTCTCACTCCAAATATGTGTTTGTTAGATTGTTCCGTATGTTGGTTGGAGTCAATTAGGTTCTACACAAATACAGTTTAAAAAGCACAAGTGCATACTGAGTAATCAGTGAAATATGGAGTTCAGGATACATAATGTGGTGAAAGTCCATCAAATTTTACTTAGTTTTGTTTTATTTTTAGAACATACATATCATTTTTTTAGGTCCTCCTGCAGAATAATGTGAATCTACTGCTGAAGTAAAAGACACAATTATTACACTTCTACTGTAAATGAATGTAGAAATAAAATCTGAAACTATACAAATCTCCAGTGAAGGGTTAAAAATTTTGTCCCAAGTTAGTCCTAAAAAGGCCTTTAGACACCGGAACAAACTGGGACAAGGATCTAAATACTGTAAATCAAGAAATTATTGACAGGTTTTTAATAAGTGTGAATACTGCGATTGAGTGAATATCACAATAATAACAATTTTCATTCTGATATCTGATACATTTATCTGTATGTAGATTTTTCTGAAATCGCAATAATTATTCTCACATTTTTGTCCATTTTTCATAAATCCCAATAATAAATGCATGCAATAATTTCTGAATTTACAGTATGCCTCTACCATCAACAACCATTTTACATTAGAACAGGTTACTTACCTCTTTAATCCTAACACACAAAGCATTCTGATCAAATGCTACTGCTTCTGACAAATGTTTTAAATGTTCCTGATATCGTAAACAAAGGTCTAGTAACTTCTGGTGGTCCATTTTATCTAGCAAATCTCCGTCTCTAGAACTTACTGGAATATTAAGTGAACCCCTCATTATTGGATAGAAAACTGGAATAGTGCTTAATTTTGTCAGTTCTGGATCAGGATCTTTGATGTACTGTGTACCATCTTTGACAACAATAATATCATGTTTCTGATTTTTTGGTTCTTTTTCTTCCTTAGGTTTGTTTTTGTTTGGTATTCGTGGTGACTGTCTAGGTGAATCTGTTGAGATAAAACAATTAAATATATACACTATATCTCGGAACACTGTATTCTAAATACTCACGCATTACAATGATAAAACAATTAAATATATACAAGATATCTCAGAACACTGTATTCTTAATACTCACGCATTACAATGATAAAACAATTAAATATATACAAGATATCTCTGAACACTGTATTCTAAATACTCACGCATTACAATGATAAAACAATTAAATATATACAAGATATCTCTGTCAACACTGTATTCTAAATACTCATGCATTAAAATGAACGGTGAACTGTTAACGATTTAAGATTTTAGGCCTTTTGTGAATTCATTCACATTTAAGTTTTTGATAGAAGTTAGATGTTCGTGGTTGGTGTTGTCAGTTGTACTGTCCAATACATTTGGTAATTACTGTTTATATCCTTTTTAAGGATTATAGTATATTTCCACTGCATGTCATTTTCATAGTTCTCGCACCAAATGTATAAAGTGCTATTTTTATTTTATGTGTTTAAGCCTATCATTGACATTTATTTTTGCAGTTTTGAAATATCATAATAATGTACAAAATCATAACAAAAGTTGTTCAACATCACAATTCTAAAGGATTTGAGAGTACTATGAAAATTGGGAAATTCAGTACACAAATGTCTATGTTTACTTTGAAAGCATTTGGTTATTAGTGTTTTTGGGTTGTTGTCTTTTACATATATACCAAATTTCCTCTTAATTATTATTGCAATGTTTTATTTCTGTCAACATTTTTAATAACAGGTAATGATGATAGTTATAGACAAGAGTGCACATGCTGAAATGTCTCATCTGCTATAAAACTAACCATGATTGATTTTGTGTTGATAGTCCTATGATAAAGTTTTACTCCAAGTATTGCAAGAACTTAACATTTTCAATGATCCATAAAAATGAGGTCAAGGTCAGATAAACCAAGCCAGACAGATAAAAACCTTACAATCATTCCATATACAAAATACATTGTATAGTTGACCTATTGCTTATAGTATCTTAAAAGAGGACTCAACTACTGAAACTTAACATTGACCTATGAACCATGAAAATGAGGTCAAGGACAAGTGATACCTGCCAGACAGACATGTACACCTTATCATTGCTTATGGCATTAGAAAAACAGACCAAAACACAAAAACTTAACGTTGACCAATAAACCATGAAAATGAGGTCACAGTCTGATGAAACCTGTCAGACTGTGCCAGACTGACATGTAAACCTTACGATCTGTGAATCATTCACTACACAAAATATTGTTGACCTACTGCTTACAGTACATGTATCTGAGAAACAAATATGATTTTCATATTACTCATAATAAGTTAAAAATTCACATTACAAAAAAATAAACTTTTTTTCAAGCAGTCACTGAACCATGAAAATGAGGTGAAGGACAACAGACATATAAGTGACAGAAACTTTGTAACATAAGGCATCTGTATACAATGTATGAAACCTCCAGGTCTTCCCCCCTCTGAAGTATAAAGCTTAATACAAATAGTTTACACTATCGCTTGTAATCCCTATGTTTCTCATTCTGCGACATTCTTTGCAGGCAGACAAAAAACTAATCCAGGAATTCAAATATCGAAAAAAATTTAACAAGTGACCCAAAAACACTGAAGTGACAGTGGAATGGCCGTATGAATATAAATATGACACACTAGTTCAGGAATGTGTGTACTGTATTAAACTATTAGAGAATAATACTGTGGTTGGGTCAGAAGTTGAATATTTTTCAATATCGTTTTTTTGGATTTGTTCGCTTTTTTAACATGGACTTTTAATGTAATTAACTTAGAGAATGCTATGAACTCTAAATATTGTTTTTGTAAGTGTTTTAACTTTTTGATGCAATGTTAATCAAGGGCCACACAAACTTCTCCTTAGTACTTCTTAGGAATTTGAGGGAGATAATCTTGCTCACTTTGTCAGGTGTGGTGAGCCCTGGGTATTGACAACACAATGTTACATTGTTAGATGTATGACATCAGAGGAGTGAAATTACAGGATTTATTTCATATGTTTAACCAGACCATATTTGTATGTGCCTGTCCCAAGAGTGGAGCCTGTAATTCAGTGGTTGTCATTTGTTGATGTACATTATATTTTGTTTTTTGTTTTTTTTGTACATAAATAAAGCTGTCAGTTTTCTCGTTTGAATTGATTTACATTTGTCATTTCCAGACCTTTTATCATATTTATAGCTTGCTATGCAGTATGGGTTTTACTCATTGTTGAAGTGACCTATAGTTGCTAACTTCTACATCATTTGGTCCTTGATGGAGGGTTGTCTCATTGGCAATCATACGACATCTTCTTATTTTTTATGTATTTTCTTTTATTTGACTTGGAAACCACTGTATTTCATTACAACAAATGTTATAAATACATCATGTACTAACCTCCATCTATAGGTTTACTGATAGAAAATGATGTGTACGGTATTTCTTCATCTCTTTGTGACTTCAGGTTACTACCTGGGGCTCCTGCTGGAAGCTGAGTACTTTGGTCAGATCCCATATTATATTATACTACAGAATCTGAAAACAAGAAAAAAATCCATTAAGTTGTAGAACTGTATTCATTTTTTTTTACACATAACCCTACCTGTTTTCAGATCGTTCATTTTTTGGTTTAAGCCTGTGATTGAGTGAAACAAAAAAGTCCCTTAAAGGCAAAAAGAGAGTTTAATAAAACAGTGCATCTTTTTTTCTATAGATCATTGAAATATAGCCATTTTGTGCTGATGTGACATTAAGCAGCAATCAATCATTCTCTTTGTCTTACCAAAACGGAATGAAAATCAGATTGAGCAGATAAGTTTGGTGTCAAACATTGTTACATCCAGCATTTATCAAAACTCATCAATTGCATCACCATTTACTACAATTTTAATCTCATCCTTATAAATTTACATTGTTGTTCTCATTGATGAAAAAATTAATCTCATTTAAATTAACGTATAACTTACATAAGAACGGTTCATCATACATGTCATAAAGTCTTACATTTTAGTAGACAAATTTTACATATTTTCATGAAATACTTAGATAATCATGATAATCATGATAATGGAATGTTTCAAGTTGTTATATTTTGATAAATTTCTTAAATTATCAGATTATTTAAAAATCTATCATACGTTTATTTTTAATGATTCATTTAAGAGATTTTAGTATGGCACATTTTTGTATCGTTTGTTAAAACAGGTGCAGATCTAGGACTTGTGAAAAGGGGGATTTATCATATATGCTGCATAAGGGGAAGCCCCCACCCACTAAATAAAAGCAAGGATTTGTATAGTAAGATCTTTTAAAAGTTTGAAAATTAAATTGTTGAGGGTATTATGAAAGTGTTTATGATACGAATTATACTATAAATATGAATGAGACCAAGGAATTGTATATTTAAAAGGAATGGAAACGCGGCTCCAGATCAATCGGGACTCCAGCGGAGCTATAATCCATGTTTGACTCGGTCGGAAGTATGATGAATAATATAAAGAATTATGACGGAGGTCCATTCCCCTGTCATATATGTCGGTCATCTAAATTCACTGAGTCGTCTTGCTTGAGAAGATATAAAGGAGAGAAAAAACCCAAGTCAAGTATAAACTACTATTCCATGTAAAAGCTAAGGCCTTAGGTATCCTTTTGATTACTTTTCGGACATACGTTTGCAATAAATTCTTATGAAAAGTCTTATTAAATAGACCTCTTTCTTGAAATTTGCGAGAGTTTCATCAAGATTACAAAGCAAAAATACAGTGTTCTGATTTTTTTCTAAAGGCTCGACAACCATGAAAGGCAAAACAAAATAGTTGATATCATTACGAAGCTGAAACTTTATTCTAGAACTTTGGCTTTTTTTTTATGTTTCTGGTAAAATTTCTAAATTTCTACGATTTTCCAAAACTTTAGTTTGGAATTTCATTATTCTGTTAAAACGTGTCTTGGCAGCATAATAAGATTGTTTTTCAAATGTTGAAAAGTAGAAAGAACAAAGTGACAACATGAGATATCATTTTAAAGAAGAAACATTTTCCTACAATTTGGTCTAAATTACGAATGCTAAATGTTATTGGTATACATGGTACATTGTAAATGATTTTATTTCGAAACATACTGAAAATTTTAAGTTGTGCTTCAAAAAAATACACCAACAAACTATATTCTGGTAAGGGTTAAATAACTCCCTGAAATAGACATGGAAATGAAATACAATTCAAAAGCTTAATCTTTTTTTTATAACATGGTGTTGGTTTTATGAAAATGATGCTAGAAACGAATTTTCTATGATTTTTCAAAATCCATTGTTTATAGTTTACATTGACGCCATTTTGTTCAGTCAAGTTCCAGACCGAACGATGTCTGAAAATACAGACAAAAAATGTATAGACTTCCAATTTGAAATCAACTGTGTCCTTTTATACACGATTTAATTCATTTATTTTTTTTCAAATACAACTTTATTTGATATTGCAGTTTGCCATAACTAAGCATTGTCGCAAATTACCATAAAACAGCATAACAGTTGTCACCTTTTTTTTCTCACAGAGCAGTATAGTCTAGAGGTCGCAAAATATGCATAAGTGTTAAAAATACCAACAAATATGTGGATGTTGGAAAGTTTTTACTGTTTCTAATTAAAAATTTAATTGCACTGAGGCATCATTTGGCATTAATTAACAGGTGTGCTCGGCGTGATTCGTTGTTGACATCTTAAATATATACGACAAAAATTAGTGTATCATGATACATGATAGATTACAAGTATACCTGCAAATTGGATATCCCATACCGGTGTTTATTATATATATAACACCTTTAATCTAAGTTCTTTTATCTAGATAAAATACTACATCTGTTCACGTACTTCTTCTTTATACTTTTCTACACCAGTCATATTAAAAAATTGAAAAGTTATTTTTTCACTTTTTGCATTACCTTTCTTTTTAAAAATTCGTATAATGTCGGTTCATCTAATTATTGCATACTTTCTAGTCCAAATAATTATGACGTCTTGGAAGGCTATTTTAAATTTTGCTTTGACGCCTTTCAAGACGTTATAATTATTTGGACTACATACTTTCATGAAATATCAAGACGAGGAACAAGAATAAAAACATTTTTCAGAAGTAACTTTGTATAAGGTTGTATTGTTATATTGTTGTATTTTTTTTTTTTTTTTTGTGTTATTTCATTTAAAGAGTTGTATATTTAAATATACAATTCCTTGCATTGTTTCATTTCATGATTAAATGACCAAGTTCAATAACTACTGCCAGATAAGTAATGAGCAAGTTAGAGCGACGGGATGTAATTAACGCACCGCCCGAGACAGAGATGCATCATAAAATTTTCTTTGAAGTCAGCAGCATTTCCATTCCTTTTTAATATACAATTCCTTGGTGAGACTGTGAGACAAGCTACTATAGTACTATAAATTGTACTACATGTATATAAATAACTATCATGGTCATAGTTTACGTGTAGTTTAGTTCCTTACATCCAGGTGAATTGGACTCTGGTTGTCTAATTAACAATCTTGTCACATCTCTTTATTTTCATATAAAAGAGAAAATTGCTTACATCTCCCTTCTAACTATTCAATAACCTACGGCTATCTATTCTATCATGGTAAAATCTAAAGAAAAAATTTAAAATGGATAAAATCCGAGAATATCTAATCACCTAATCAGATTGTATCTAATGAGTACATTTAAAAATATAATTAAATACCAACTTTTTAAGTAAAGGAAAGCACAGCATACCTTGCAAATGTTACAGCTCATAAAAATTATCGATACGGTTTTAATTGTAATTCTGAATTGCTCAGAAACAGAATTCTTAGGAGTTGATGTCTGTGTTTGTTTTTTAACCTATGCTTTGATTGGTCTCTTGGTTATTCCTTTTCATTGTTTTTAATGATTTTTGATGTTCAGTCAAATCCACATCTCCTTTTATCTATAAGAAAACAGAGATAGTTCGATATTTTCATCTTGCTTGCAGAGATCTATTTTGTGAGAACACATGATAAAAACTAGTCACAAGTTTCATGAAGATACTTGTCATCGTTGATGTGTTGGTCCAGCGAAATACTGCTATAACTTTGTTATAGTATCTTAGATCTAATCCATGCATTAATTAATACTTGTCAAAAGTGAAACGTGACAGGACAATAAAAACACGATTGAGATTGGGCCGGGATCCCAGGCTTAAGAGGATAAGTATACCATTATGTAGAGACCTATAAAAATATTCATACATTATATAAATATATAAAAGGCATTCAAAATACTTTTAATTTACTTTAAACAACTGATATTTTGTTGTTGAAAATTTCACTTCAAAGGAAGAATTCGAAGCGTAATTAAGCAACGATCATTCACCTTTTCCTTTTCCTTTTCTTCTCTCTTTTTCTTTTTCTTTTCTTTTCTTTTCTTTTCTCCCTTTTTTTTTTTGGGGGGGGGGGGGGGGGGGGGGTGGGGGGGTAGGGGGTCTTTTGTTTTATATAGCGGTTTGATTAATACTTTTTATTACTTTTTTTACAATTTCAAAATTGATCGAGAAGCCTTAAGCATCCACGAGTCTTGTAAGTTATCGAGGTGCAAACTCAAACATATAGTCAAACTTCCGAGTCTGTCTTTTCTAATACATTTATTTTTCAAATGCTATACCTTTACTCCGATAACGTACATGTATCTAGCTAAGAACTACTTTCAAACCGGTGCTACGATCATCTTAAACGTGTTGTAGGGGCTTTAGCTTTGGATCCGTGTTAAAGGTCTGGCGATGACTGTAAGATGAAGAGTAACAGTAAATGCATTGTTCCTTTGCTTTCCGTTTTTGTCGAGCCTTCGACTTTTGTCGAAAAAGCGAGACATAGCGATCCTAAATTCCGTCGGCGTCGTCGTCGTCGTCGTCGTCGTCGTTGTCGTCGGCGGCGTCCACAAATATTCACTCTGTGGTTAAAGTTTTTGAAATTTTAATAACTTTCTTAAACTATCCTGGATTTCTACCAAACTTGGACAGAAGCTTGTTTATGATCATAAGATTATATTCAAAAGTAAATTTTGTAAAAAAAAAATTCCATTTTTTCCGTATTTTACTTATAAATGGACTTAGTTTTTCTGCCAGGAAACATTACATTCACTCTGTGGTTAAAGTTTTTGAAATTTTAATAACTTTCTTAAACTATCCTGGATTTCTACCAAATTTGGAAAGAAGCTTGTTTATGATCATAAGATAGTATCCAGAAGTAAATTTTGTAAAAAAAAAATTCCATTTTTTCCATATTTTACTTATAAATGGACTTAGTTTTTCTGCCAGTTAACATTACATTCACTCTGTGGTTAAAGTTTTTAAAATTTTAACAACTTTCTTAAACTATCCTGGATTTGTACCACACTTGGACAGAAGCTTGTTTATGATCAAAAGCTAGTATCTAGAAGGAAATTTTGTTCCATTTTTTCCGTATTTTACTTATAAATGGACTTAGTTTTTCTTCCAGTTAACTTTACATACAGTCTGCAGTTAAAGTTTTAAAAACATTTATTAGATTCAAAAACCATCCTGGATTTTTACCAAACTTGGACAGAAGCTACTTACAATCAAAAGATAGTATAGAGAGGAATATTTTTATTAATTTTTTTCCTCATTTTTGTTGAGCCTGCGATTAACAGCAAAAGTAGGCGAGACACTGGGTTCCGCGGAACCCTTACGAATTTTTTGTCTAGTGCATGTAAGGAGGGTTTGTTTTTGTGAGATGAATATATAATTTCTATCCGATCCGTCTAGTGAGAACTATATTAACTCTAGATATTACCCTTAATACTCGAAATTACAGTTAACACTAGACATTGCATTTACACTTAACACTATGCATTACACTTAACACAAGACATAGACACTTGACACTAAACATTACACTTAACACTAGACAATGCATTTACACTTAACACCAGACATTACACTTAACACTAGACATTGCATTTACACTTAACATTTGACATTTGACATTACACTTAACGCTACATAAAAATTACTTTACACTTAACACTTGACATTACACGAAATACTAGACATTGACACTTAACACCAGACGTTGACACTTAACACTAGACATTGAAATTGAACACAAGACATTGCATTAACATTTAACATTAGACATTACACTTGACGCTAGACATTAAACTTAATTCTAGTCATTACACTTAACACTAGACATTTCATTTGCACATCACACTAGACATTGAAATTCAACACTAAACATTGACGATTTACACTTAACACTAGACATTGCACTTAACACTAGACTTTACACTTTTGAACATTGTGTTGTTTTGTCGCATCATTTTCTCTCTGCATTTTAATTAATGTTTTTATTTCTTCTTTTTATCTTTTCAAAGCTACGAGGAAGGGTGTAAAGGCGATGGTAGATGGCTTCCTTCCCTTATTTTTTTTTTTTAGTTCATCTTGATTAGTTTTGTAAATAAATTAAAGTTATTTCACTGGCTTCATTGTGTTTTACTTCTTATGAAAAAAAAGAGAAACGTGGTATGAGTTAATAATTGAATAGACATTCACACTGAAGAGTAGATGTATTTAAAATAAGCAGATGTGGTATGATTGCCAATGATACAACATACCAACAGAGTCCAAATGAAGCGAATTTAAGCAGCTATAGGTGACAATACGGCCCCCATCAATGAGCAAAATCTATATCGTATAATCAGCCATAAAAAGCCAAGACATGACAAAATGTGAAACATTTCAAACGAAAACCAACGGCCTGATTTTTGACAAAACAAATACGATAAGCAGGTACATATACAATTTGACGGGGTTAAAACAATTTGTGAGTTGGCAACCCTTTCCTTACCTTAAGTTGTGTTGTAACAGTACAACATTCATGATAAAGACAAAAAAAAACAAAGTGCCGGTATAAGAGTACTCGAGTTACTGAAAGCTAGTTCAAGGTCAAGAACAAGCAATAAATAATTCATGTTCTCTCAGAATAAAGTATCAATCATTACGCACCCAACGGCTTTAGTGTAAAGATGTTATAAACAGTCCAAGAAAAGCATAAACTTGTGCAATGCCAAAATGAAAATACATGATATCGAGACGTAGATTCATGAATTTTTACAAATGTTTAGCAATACATATTTAGTTTTGTTTTACTAATAGTTATTCAAAACTATTAGTAAAAAAAATTACATGAAGGGCTTTAAATGAGTTACAGCAAACAAATCTTCTGCAATCATATTTTTAAAGGACAATTCAACTAAATAAAAAAAAAACTTTTTTAGATAAGATTGTGTGGAAGTGTAGTGTAGAGAGTTGAAAAGTCATAACTGTCAACCGAATTTATAGTACCATCAAAAGCGTGTAATTTATCTAAATCACCCAAAGAGTTTTTAAACAATAAAAATAACTAATTACATCATTGTCAGATGCTTTATTGCAAAATTTAATAACAATTTCTTTTAATTTTAGTAAGGGAACTAGTTAAAAGCACAGAAAAATTCATAGTAGAACACTTACTTGAAGCTGAATTGAAACGATATTTGAAGGGTTTTTGTGTAGTTTAGGTAACCAACAAGAAAGCTATCAAATCAAGAGTTCCAAGTGATGATGTTGAAGTGATCCCTAATGCTTTGAAATAATTTGCAGACGCCATCAAAAATTGGTTGACCGTTAGCGAATACCTTTTTGGGGTTTGTACTGACATGAGCAACACGACGGGTGCTACATGTCGAGTGGAGCAGGATCAGCTTACCCTTCTGGAGAACCTGAGATCAGACATGTTTTATTGGTGGGGTTTGTGCTAGACAGTTTTTATTTTTCTGTGTTGTGTTATAAAACATGTTGCTTGTCATTTGGAGGTTTTTAGTTTTTTGCCATGACCGCGTGATTGTCATTTCGCCGGATTCGACTTGGGAGTTTGAATATCTCTTTGGTGTCATATAATTACGCCTCTCTTTCAAGTGGAATTTTATTTCGTTGAAAAATCAGGGGTTTTATTTTGTTAGACAGTCCAGCACGTAAGGCCATAAAAAAGAATAGGTTTGTTTGCCCTAACCCTACCTACCCAGAAAATATCTGCCTACTCAAAATCTTTTATTGTGCTGATGTTAAAAAGTTTTTTATTAATCAGATAGGCATGAAGACTTAAAAACATCTGACGCTTCAATTTCTCTTTGCCGAAAAAAAAAGAAAATGCTTACCTACCTTCTCACTGTCTCTACCTTAGGGTAGGGTTTGGGCAAACCAAAATATTTTTAAGTGTGGCCTAAACCACTCAGTGCAATACGCCCATTCTGCAAGTAGCAGGTTTGTTCTCTATCTCGTGGCAACCGCCTTGGTATCTGTAAGTTATTATCACCCCTGTTGCGTGCTGTTTCGAGATCCTTTCAATCCTAGAATGTATTTCCGTTTGTCACGAAAGCCCAGTTATTCCCGTTCTTATTCCCCATGTTTATGACTGGGGCCTCATTAAACAAGTTAACGCAATACCTGAGACCACCCCCGGTTTTTGTTAGAGTTCATTTTGCTTGGTCTTAAGTTTTAATGTAGTGTTTATAAATAAGAAGGTGGTATGAGTGTCAATGAGACAACTCTCCATCCAAG